CTCTTCTTTGCTTTTTTGCGGTGGCAAACCAGCTTTGAGCATTTTATCACCACCTAAAAGACTGGATGGAGAACTGTATTTGATTTATCTTTCTCTTGTTAAATTTAATATCACTAAAATTGGGTGCCTGTTTGGTTTGAAAACTGTATTTTGCTAAATTGAAATGATCTTGCAAATACAATTAATTGCCCAGCCCTACTTGTGAATTTCTTAAAATTGACTGCTGTTCATTCCTCTAGAAAAGAAAAAAAAGAGACTGGATTTTTGACAATTTTCAGTGTGCAAAGCTGCTACCATGATAAAAGATGAATGTACAAGGCTGCAGATATGAATAGCTACATGCAAAATCAAAGCTTGTGCATATTATAGAAATTGTAGGTGATAGACCAACAAAAAGTAGTGCATAACTGTGACATGGAAAAAAATATGCATGGCTTTTAAAAAAAGTGCATAAATATCCCAGCCTCCTAAATTCATAATCTGTAAGATTTGAATTTAAGCACATTTAGAGACTTACTCATTCTATAAAGAAATATCTAGTTTATTAAGATATGATAGATGGTGTCTGTGAACCAGAGGTGGGTGCTAACTAGTTACATTTAGTTAAGTAACTGTTACAAAAATTACTTTAGGAGTTTTACTGCATCATGATGTTTCCTTTTAATTGAGTAATGATTATCATTAAGTATCCTTACTCCTACTTAAGTAAAATGTCATGATGTGGTAAAAACATCTCCATCTTGGTCCTAGAAGAATCTCTAACCTCTAGGATGCGATATGTAGCAGAGGAGCCTGGAAAGTCACAGTTGTCGCCAGACGAAGGCGCAAAATCCCTGCTTTGTTTTTTATCGCATCCATTCTGCTGGTTGATGTCAGAACTCGAAGTGTCTGGATGAGGTTCATGGTTTGTATTACACTGAGGGGCCAGCTCTGGAAATTCTGTGAAGAGCCAGTGACGGTCTTTGAAGAAACGATTCTCGTGTATCGTGTAGAATTCATTCCAGTATTCATTTGCCCGATTGTCGTATTCCTCTGGAAGTAAAATGAAAAAGAAATAATACTGAAATAAAATAATAGACACACAACAAAATGCATTAACTTCTCTTAGGCAAATATAACAATATTCAACAACTCTGATATAATTCTAGCACACTGATATAGTGTCATAAAATGAATACATAACCAACACCTGTAGCGGTGTGAGATGTACTTAGAAATAAAACCCAACCTTGTTTCTCTGGAGGCAAAGGATGATTGTTTTCTGAAACTTTCTTCTTTGCAGCTTTTTCCTGTTCCTCGGTCCACTCCACATTGTCCCTGGAAAGTTCACAATATCATCAGAGTCGAACCGTTTGAAGGTGATTTTAATCCGGGTCGTGTGCTGACTGTTCCCTGGTTTAAACAGGTTTCTCAGCCAGTGTGAAATGGACACAAGTTACCACAGATTGAAGAAAATGTCATGTTGGGTTATATCATTTATCATTCATATGAAAAATGTGCAGAATTCATTGGGTCTAATATCAATATTATTTTATCACTGTTAACATTTGATCACTGCTGCACTTTAAGGAAGGGAAATGTTTATTTGTTGCCTGCTGTACTTAATGAAATTTTGTTTTGCTTTGTTAACACTCTGTGTATGTATACAAAATGATAGTAAAAATGGTCTAAGTCATGAAAACATTTTTATTCAGAATCAGCATGTAAACAGAAGAAGAAAAACTTGGTGTATTGAAATAAAATTAATTATTATCATTAACCAATAAATTGAGTTAGGACCAATCTCATTCAGGATAGGCGTAAAGTGAGTTATGTAAAAGTTTTCTTTGTTTTCTAGATCTGACAGAATCTGGAAATAGCAGTGATAGCTTTTTTCATTCAAAAGTAAGATTTTAATTCTTAGTTTATACTTTTTAAATCCTAATTCACTGACTGATTGCCAGAACTTGAACTAAGGAGAAAGATTCTTTATTACCTGTTAAATTTCAATGAATGGCTCAATTTATCGATAAATCTTTAAAAATCAGGCTTATTGCCTATTTCAAATTTAAAGGAAAATGTAGCTAAAGCTGTTAACAACAAACCAAATGTGATTGTAGCCATGCTTACCAATATCAACAGTAAAGGAAAAGAAAATGAAATTATTTGATAAATAAACATTTTATTGGACCTATTATAATGATTCACTTCACTAGAAATAAACAAAGCACCCAAATATAACTGCAATCAAACAGGGTTGAAACTCTGGATTATTTTGCTGTTGATTATTTTTGTTCAATGAAAAAGCAGATAAAAAAAAAAATCTGGGCTTTTGAGGATTTTT